GCTGTCCCCTGCCCGTGTCCCCACCTCTGCCACCTCGGGGGTGGCCCTGGCACTGTGTCCCTGTCCCTGCAGCCCCCTCCTGTGTCCCCACCTCTGCTACCCTGGGGATGGCCCTGGCACTGTGTCCTTGTCCCCACTGCCCCCGGCCCATGTCCCCACCTCGGGGGTGGCCCTGGCACTGTGTCCTTGCCCTGCTGCCCCCCAGCCTGTGTCCCCACCTCCCTGTAGCTCCCAGCCCATGTCCCACACTCTGCCACCTCGGGGGTGGCCCTGGCACTGTGTTCCTGTCCCTGCTGCCCTTATCTGTGTCCCCACCTCCCCGCTGCCCCCCGTCCATGTCCCCACCTCTGCCACCTCGGGGGCGGCGTGGATCAGGTGCCAGATGTAGCCGTTGAGCTCCTCCTTGCGCCGCTCGGCCACCGCCTCGCCCCGTGAGCGCCCGATGACGAACCTGCTGGGAAAGCTGCGGGCACAGACCCTCAGGACAGTCCCCAGGGGTGGCAGGGGGGTCCCCRGGGGTCCCAAGGGGTTTGGGGGTACCTGGGCAGCAGCGAGGAGGGGAAGAGGAGGCGCAGTTTGTTGTGCAGCTCCTGRAACTCCTCGAAGGTGCGCTGCACGAAGGTCACCTCATTGTCACGTTGCACTTTCACCACGTAGATCTGCGGGGACACCGCGGTGACGTGGGACACCCGTGGCACCCCCAGCCCATCCCGGGCCCGTCCCCGGCCGTCCCCACTCACGTAGCCCTTGCTGGGGTTGAAGACCCTCTCGTGGCGGCACAGGAAGACGTCGCGGATCCGGCCGGACGTTTTGAGGGTGTGCGTGCGGGGCGCGAAGGACAGCGCGGGCCGGGCGTCCGAGCCCGCAAACTTCATCTGCGCCAGGTTGTGGATGAAGAAGTTGAGCTTGGTGGCCACGCTGCCCAGGCTGGACTCRATCAACCTGCAAGAGGCCACCGTGCGGTCAGTGCCACCATCCGAGGGTCCCTGCGGTGGCACCCGCCCGTGTCCCCCACCTGGTGAAGTAGGTGGTGGCATCGGCGTCCGAGTCCTGCGGCCGCAGTGCGTCGTAGACGTACTTGAGATCCTCCAGGTCTGAGAGCTC